TCAAACGATCATAGCAAATGTTGTGATAGGGATAGAGACATGCGATTTTTTGTTTTACAAAGATAATACGATAGAAAATAATAAAAAGTAATAAAAATCACCGGTTATAGGGGCATTTTTTGGAGAAATTTATAAAATAACCAAAAAAAACACGAATTTTTAAGCAGATTTTTTTCAAAAAGTATCATTTTTTATTATTTAATGGCATTTTTTGTGTATTTTATGTATTTTTTTAGTATTGCCTGTTATTTAGCATTATTACTGTTTTAATTTTATCAGGATATACCGCTTAGTTCAAAAGTTATTACGTTTTCTTTACAATAAGTAATTGGAAGAAAAAAAATTCTATAAAAAATTAAAAAAAAATCTCAAAAATTTTTTGACCTCTTTTTTGTCGATAAAAATAGGTCTAGTTTCATCTATTTTCATATGTACACTTTAACGTGACTCACACTGTATATTGTATACACCATACATTCACAGTTTACTTATAAATAAATTGAACCTAATCTAAGGTGTTGTCTTATAATAAAGGTTGCCACGACGTGCACAGAAAACATTTTACGAATATGTTGGATAGCTATAAAGTTGCCAAAGTAACAGAATGCGAAACAGTTGCTTACAATCTACGAGTAGGTACCTACCTATCGGAAATACCGATAATTCAGATTGTTTTTTGAATTTACGTAGTGAAGATGACACATCAACGCTGATCCGGAAGAAAGTGGCAGGTTGCTAAATAAATTGTGACTGAATCCTGTATCATTACTAATGAAACTAAGGTACCTACCGTCATGATACTTATTGTATTCTGTGATGGTACTAGTGAAATCATTCATGTTTAGATTAAGATAAAATGTATTTGCGCTTTTCGTAGCGCCACCCCCGCGCGGAACTAAGTTCCGANAATAGTAGAGTAGGTTAGGTTAGAACAGTGACCCTTAACGCGCGAAGGCGAGCGAAGCGTGCCGCGGCAGCGGCCGCCGAGCGCTAGAATCACCTCTATTGTTAATTAATCATTTAGTTTCGATAAAAATAATGAAATATGAAAATAAATTTAGAACAAATTTTATATTAACTACTCACTAAACAAAATAATAACCACAAGCTAATTTGTATTCCATTCTATGCACCAATCAAATTATTTTGTANTCCAACCTTCAGAGGAGTGGGTGCAACACGGACATTAGACATGATTTTTGTCTTGTCCATGTTCATTCTGAGGCCCACTTGTTGAGAGGCTCTACTGAGGCCATCGAGCATTGTGCCTAGATCCTCCAAGGTCTCAGCCATGACTACGATATCGTCCGCGAATCGAAGGTGGGTGATGTACTCACGTCTGAAATACCGCAGTGTCTCAAGTCGAAAGTATTTGACCAATGTGTGTTGCCAGTGATGGTATACGGATCTGAGACGTGGTCGCTTACTATGGGCCTCATAAGAAGGCTCAAGGTCACCCAAAGGGCGATGGAGCGGGCTATGCTCGGAGTTTCCCTGCGTGATCGAATCAGAAATGAGGAGATCCGCAAGAGAACCAAAGTAACCGACAAACTCGCAGAATTGCTAAAATCAAGTGGCAGTGGGTGGGCGGGGCACATAGCTCGTAGAGACGATGGCCGTTGGGGCAGGAAAGTTCTCGAGTGGCGACCACGGGCTGGAAGACGTAGCGTGGGCAGGCCTCCTACTAGGTGGACCGACGATCTGGTAAAGGTCGCGGGAAGAGCCTGGATGCGGGCAGTGCAGGACTGTACATTGGGGGAGGCCTTTGTCCAGCAGTAGACGTCATTTGGCTGAAAAAAGAAAGAAAAGTGCTTCTGAAATACTAACGACGGACAACTACGGAACCTTACACTGTGCGTGGCACGCACGACACGCATTTTTTTCCATAGTTTCAGAATGTAATGAAACTTACCCTTTTTGCAGGTGCCTCATATTTCTTTCAGCAGTCATATACAACAGTTACAGTACAGTACCAAAGGCCTCATTTTATTATTATATGCCAGATGTGGAGTTCGAACATGCTTATGGAATGTACACTTCACCTTTGTCAAGGACAATAAACGGGTCCGATGTGCTGGTTACGGCACCTGAGCACGCCCCTGACTTCAGGATGGAGGAGACCCCATTAGTCAGGCACTACCCCTATTTCTACCTTGAAGAAGAACGACCATATAGAATAAGTCCTGCGCACAAACAACTGACGAGGTGGTATAGCCGGGTGCGATTCAAAATTGTTTTCTAAGATAATTATTATTACCGGGATTGCGAGGTTTCCGGCGAATAGGACCGCAATTATTTAGGACCGCGGTTCCAGTCGCCGGATTCGTAAAAATTAAATCTTTTTCTTCCGGCGACTGAGACCACTAATAAATGTTTGTACTGTATTGAGTTTAGCTTGAATAATATTATATTTCTTTAAGTTATCTATGAGTGGTCCTAGTCGCTGGAAGAAAAATATTTAATTTTTATGGATCCAGCGACTGGGACCGCGGTCCCAGTTACTTGCGGCCCCAGTCGCCAGAAACCTCGGGATTGCTACCATGTTCCTTAATTTTGAGTTTCCGATATTTCGCCACTGTTGCAAGCGCCATGGTCACGGAGTAACTAAAGAAACTTATGTTTTAAGACTCCCCGCTTTTAGTCGGCCGATAGTTGGTCCCGATTCTTATTTGTATGAAGAACTTGATCACCTGAACAGCCCGACCCAAATATCGGCCGACAAAAAGTCGGTGGCCTGCGCCTAGGTTAAATATTCACTACACTTTACCCCTAGAAGAATAGTGAAATTGCCGAATTTTTCTCAATAACTATTCAGTAATTTAAAATTCCTTTTATTTTTAGCCCTATGTTCAGCAGTGGTTCCTATCGTCCACTGATGATGATGATGATGAAATTTTATACAGATTTTTTTCAAATTAGAAATAAATCGTCAAAATTAAAAGAAAAGAAGAATTTTATTAAATGAGCTTTTAATGCTCTTATAAGAATAATGGTATCCTTCCGTTTGGCCAAATTACTTTTCGCCAAATTTCACTTCGCAAACAACTTATCGCCAAAGTTTCATTTCCCAAATGAACTTTTAGCAAATGTACTTTTCGCAACTATTTCATTTGGTCAAATTATCATTTGGTCAAATTTTACTTGGCAAATGTTTATATAGCAAATGTTTTATTTTGCCAAATATTATATCCCAAATAATTTATTTGGTCAAATTGACACTTCACATGCTTACCCACCGTTACCCACAAATCAAAGCACAAGGCAAATTATCATGGTTTTCACAAGAATTTTATGTAAAACAAAGAGATTGCAGAAAATAGTATGGATGCGAAAGTAGGTTTTGCAGAAAATAGTAAGTTAGGTTAGGTTAGAACAGTGACCCTTAACGCGCGAAGGCGAGCGAAGCGTGCCGCGGCAGCGGCCGCCGAGCGCTAGAATCACCTCTATTGTTAATTAATCATTTAGTTTCGATAAAAATAATGAAATATGAAAATAAATTTAGAACAAATTTTATATTAACCTTTAACTATGGACGTGAAAAAATAATCACACTCCCATGGACGTCGGGTCTCCCAGACCCCTATCTAAAATTCTTCTTATTTTTATATCTGAATCAATTTGAATTTATTAAAGAGTTGATATATGTCTAATAACTATTAATAAAGGATTTAGTAGTAAATGTAATCCAATTTTAACCATAATTTAATTATTTTTTTGCTAATTTAAAAAACCTAGTCATTTTTCAGTGTTAATTGACTTGCCACACATATAGGCTCCTTGATTACAGTCGATTATTAATAAACGTAAGTAATATTTTTTTCCTTGCTAATTAATAACCACGTAACATAAAAACATGAACAAAATTTCTGAAGCACATAAAATAACATTTTTGACAAGGGTTAAAGTTACTAAAATTTTACACAGTGGCCTAGAACAATAAAGACAAATTATCTCTACAGGCATGTGTTATCTTTCTTTGAGAGCTTTAATAGGCAAAATATACACCATTCAGAATCAGAATCTGCAGCAATGGTAAATTCTAAGACATCTAAACTAAAAAAAGAATCGTCTACAAATAATACCTTACTCCTGAAATGTTCTTTAGATAGTTGGGCTAATAATATAGCTGATGTACTCAGATACTTTCTGCCATTTCTTAAACTAGAACATTTTACTTAAGATTATAATAATATTATCATATAAAAAAATTATAGTTGACAAGTCACATCCATAGAAGTATGTTTGTATGGAAATTATAGTCATCGGGTCTCCCAGGCCCGGACAAAATTTTGGATGGTTATTACTCACGTAATAAGTGTCGGAAGACGCGATTTCATGCCTCCTCGGCCCAAACACAGTTAAAACTGAAGCTACTGAGATGGTCGCGAGCAGCACTTGGCGGGAAGGTGTTTAAACCGAGAAATTGGAAAGGGGGGTGGGCCTCTGAGACCCGACGTCCATAGTTAAAGGTTAACTACCCACTAAACAAAATAATAACCACAAGCTAATTTGTATTCCATTCTATGCACCAATCAAATTATTTTGTAAATAGTTTATCGTGAAATATTTTTGCCAAATGAAACATTTGGCGAAACATACTTTGCCAAACAATAATTTGCTAAACAATAATATGCCAAAAAAGACATTTGCGAATTAAAAGTTTGCAATAAGTTGTTTTGCCAAATGAGAATTTGCCAAATGAAAATTTGCGAAACGTTGTTTGCCATGTGATAATTTGGGAAACGTTTTTTGGCCAAACATTAGTAATCCAAGAATAACACTATAAGAGCGCTTTCACATTAGGGCGTTAGAAGCGCGACAGCAGCGCGGCAGCGGCGTTTTTATAATATGAAGGCATGCATCCGCTGTCACATAGTATGAAATTATTGGCAGCGCGTCTGTCGCGCGTTTGTCGCAGTTTGTAAAGTCGCCTAAATGTGAAAGCGCTCTAAGACAAAGTTTTTATTTTGCGGCTAAGCTTAATTAACTGATATGTGTTTCAGGATAACGCGTATAACCTTGGGTGCGCGTGCACAACAGTATTCCGACGATTCCACCTGCTAGCAGGCTGTGCGGCGATATCAACCAGACATATTTTAACTACGGCTACCTCAACCGAGCTAATATTGAGAACAAGAAGACATTTCGAGTAAGATAGTCGTAGCTGAATGATTTTCTTCTCCTTCAAACCGTTATGGTTTATTTGGGCATTTGGCACTAATCAGTACACTTTGGCGATTATCACACAGTCACACTGCACCACGCTCCGCCGCGGTACGCGGGATGACTAATCAATGTATGCAAGTACCTCAGTTTATATCTATAGAAAACACGCGCAGCACAACACACTGACAACGCGTTTGCGCGCGGGATTCGTTATATGTCGCCACGCCAGAGTAAATACAAATGAGTAGGTCATCTTCATAGAAACGTACCGAGCGCGGTTTGTATGTGAGCGCGCCAATATACGTATGCGGCGCGCACGCACACAGTGACAAAATTCGACGCAACCACGACTGACTCCCCGCTAATCCCCGCCAAATTTTGCCAGTGTGTGCGTGCGCGCCGCATACGTGTTGGCGCGCTCACATACAAACCGCGCCCGTGCGTTTCTATGAAGATGACCTACTCATTTGTATTTACTCTGGCCACGCGGACCGCGGCGGAGCGCGGTGCAGTGTGATAATCGCCTTTCTCTTCCTATTATAATGTTGTATGTAAGTTACTGGTGCTACTACTGTCATTCTGTCTCATCAACAGACCTTTACAGCCCACGGCTGGACTATGAGCCACCTCCACTTTAGTGGAGGGTTTTGCCAAAATCTCCTCGCTTGGCAGACGGATTAGAGATCGCAGTTTAAAATATTAATGTTTATCTTAAAATAGATGTAGACAGAATGTGTGCCGTCACCACACATATTCATTGCAATAAATGTTTTTTTCTGATCATGAAAATAATGCTGTAAAATATATTTTCAGACGGATGACCGAAGTCCTTGGTATATGGTATGATATTAACGATAATTCGTTTAACAGCAGTTATTACGCATATCCGAATAGGATACATTATCATCCAAGGGTATGATTATTTTACAGTCCACATACAGGGTGAAATTGCAAACAGTTGCCAAAAATGTTTTTACAAGCCCTACTCTAAATCACAATCTTCTTTTTCTCTATTATACATGGTGACTTGGAATTAGAGCATTTAACTTGTATGTGTTGAGCATGTAAGGTAAAGAAATTGACTTACTTGACTTATGGTCCTATTATGTCCCCTAGATGGGGCAGAGGGCGTCCACAACAGTCCTCCATCTCGTTCGGTCTTGAGCTTCTCGCTTGATCTCGCTCCAGGTTTTGCCGATCTTCTTCGCCTCGTCCGCTACAGTGCGCCGCCAAGTTTGCCTGGGTCGACCACGTTTGCGTTTTCCTTGGGGATTCCAATCCAGAGCCTGCTTAGGGATGTGATCGGGGTCCCTTCGGAGAGTGTGGCCAATCCAGTTCCACTTGCGGCGCTTGATCTGCTGGTCGATCGGAATTTCGTGGCAGCGTGTATAACCGAGAATTCGGCGAAGGCGACCTTCCACGTTTCACACCCATAGAGCAGAACGGATTTAACGTTGGACCTGAATATTTTGATCTTGACCCTTTGGGTCAATTTCCGTGACTGCCATATGGGGCGAAGTTGTGCGAAGGTAGCTCTGGCCTTGGCAATGCGCGAAGTGATGTCCTCTTCGGTACCTCCAGTTTCTGACACGACGCTCCCGAGGTAGGTGAAATTGTGGACTCGTGCCACATCCTCTGCACCAATCCGTAATGGCGTGCAATTTCTCACACCAGATCGCATCTCTTGGGTCTTCCGGCAGTTAATTTTGAGCCCTGTGATACCCGCTTCTCGATGTAGGTCATTAAGTTTGGATTGCATATCGTGATGCGTGTGGCTCAGCAAACAGAGGTCATCGGCATAATCTAAGTCTTCTAAGACTCCGATTATACCCCACTCTATTCCACGCCTTTGGTCTTGATATGCGCGATTCATGACTCCATCTAAGACAACCAGAAAGAGAAGGGGCGAAAGCAGGCAGCCTTGCCGGACGCCCGCATGCACCTCGATGTCTTCGGAGATGAGGCCGTCGTGAGTTACCGTACAATAATATTTCCTGTAGATGGCCTTCAGTAGGTCGATGATTTTCGGCGGGACACCAATGTCAGCGAGTCGCGACCATATACTTGCCCACTTCAGCGTATCAAAGGCTTTTCAAAGTCTACAAAGGTTAGGTAGACTTCCCTTTGCCATTCTGATGCCTGCTCCAAAATGATACGCAAATTATTGATTTGGTCGGTACACGAGCGGTTCGGGCGGAAGCCAGCCTGTTCCCTACGCAAAAGAGGTTCAACGGCCCCTGATAACCTATCCAAGATAATCTTGCAGAAAACCTTTGACGGTATCGAGAGCAAAGTGATACCTCTCCAATTGTTACACTGGCTTAGATCCCCTTTCTTTGACACTAATTAAAAGCCCCTTATTCAAGGTAAAGAAATTAGGTTATAGTATTTGCAACATTTTTGTATAAGGATTGCAAAAGTGAACCGTTATTGCTATGGCTAAGGCTTATTTTCGCGCACCATAATGACATAATAAGCTTTGCAGTTTGTGTGTGTGCATAATTTTCTATGAACGAAAAAAATTTCATATGTGCCAATTTTGAAATAGATAAAAAAAAAGATTTCTTTACGTAAATGGATTCTGAGTCACTTTTAAAAAATTGGCAACTATGTATTTGCAAAGTCATCCTGAAAGCTGAAATTTAGGTCTTTGGCATCCTTTAAATAACTCGCTCATTATACCTACTTAGTTCATTCTCCAAATGAGACAAACCCTCACTTTCTCGGACACAGCTACGAGCATAAAAGTGAAAAAAATAATAATTTCAGTACGTTAAGCCGAAAGAAGTCAATCGGTCACATCCTATACCAGCGATGTATGATTTGTCTGTATGGAGTACGACGTATAATTTATATGGATCTTCAATGTCACCGAGTGGTGCATACATCTGTAATAGAGGGGGATCCCACTGGTAAGTGATTGCATAAAAAAACAGGTCTAAGGCCCAGAACAGACGGTGAAACGCAACTGCAACGAAACTGCAACTGCTAGTTACTTTTGAGTTGCATCTAAGTTTCTGCCATGGCGTCCGTTGAGAGACCACACATGACGCGACCAGTTTGAAACTTTCAGTTTCAGTTTCATTCATAAGAATCATCAAAAAGTTGCAGTTTCGTTGCAGTTGCGTTTCACCGTCTGTTCTGGGCCTAAGGAAAAAGTCTATCAAAGGAGACCTGACATGCTTTATACATTTTCGTAATAAGGTCTAAAACCTGTGTAATTAAAATCAATAAATAAATAAATTTTTAGACCAAAATTATGATGACAAATTAATATAATATTACTTATACAGGCTGACCAGGGAGTTGACATTCAAAACTAAAATTTTAATTCCTTACATCATGTTTCGAAGGAAATATTTTTTTTTATCAAGGTGTATCTAAATCACCTCATGTATGTTCTACGATTTTGCTTAGTTTAGGAGATAGAGAGGTTTTTTCCTTAACTTTCACCTATGGTTGGTTATCAATTTTTTTCTTACTCTCCCGAACACTGTAGTTTGTTTTTTCTTACTTACGCTAGAGAAGCTTTCAGTGAAGATCAACTCAGAGCAAAAATCTGCGAAGCCGAAGGAGAAAGTTGATCTTCACTGGAAGCTTCCCTAGTGTGAGTAAGTAAAAACAAACTACACCAAGTGCTCGCCAGAGTGAGAAAAAAAAACCAATCATAGGTGAAAGTTAAGGAAAAAAAGTCACAAAATTAACCCTATCTACTAAACTGAGCAAAATCGTAGTCATGAGGGTGAGATACACCTCGATGTAAGGAATATAAATTTTAGCTTTGAACGTCAACACCCTGGCCACTCTGCATAAATCAGCCAATTATATTTCCCCCAGAAATGGTTCGACGGATCAATCATGTTGATGTAGCTCACGGAAAGTATTCGGAAGGTCTTTCTTCAGACCAGTCGTATAAATTTTTGGGGGAGGCCTTTGACCAGCTTTGGACGGTTTTTTGGTATAACTGAATAAAAAAGCTACTAAGATAATGATGATTAATAATTATGCTTATATCATAAGGATGGAATACGGATCATCTGTGCCTGGACCCAGAGAGTTGGCCCTGATAGCAGGATTCCAATTCATAAAGGCTTATAGACGAAAGCCCATGCCCTGGTTCAAATACGCAGTCAGGACGAGGAAACACACATACCCGTGCCCGAAGGTAAATAATCAGTACAGAATTAATATAGTACCTAAAGCCTGGTCCGTGAGCACGTAGAATCCCATCCAATGACCCCAAGCTACCCATCCTTATCGCTCGCGCGTAATTATATTGCTGTCGCGACTGTGCGAGGCGCGCCCGCAGTGAGTGTGCGAGCGCGACAGCAACATAATTGGATGGATGGGCAGCTTGGGGTCATTGGACGGGATTCTAAGTGCTCACGGACCAGGCTTTACTAGTAATATCTCGGATAAACGATTCAGCTAGGTAGGTCCAATTTCGAGAACGAGGTCAATCGTCGAATCTAACTTAGCTGGGCAGCATTCGGAAAACCACGCAACATCTTTTCGTCCAAAATAGGTACCTTAGTGCCTGAAGACTAAAGTCTACAACCAATGTGTGTTACCAGCAGCGTTGCCAGACGTCCCGATTTTGGCGGGACGTCCCGATTTTTAAATCAAATTTAAATGTCCCGCGCGGGACAGGCTCGGTCCCGCTTTTGGGAGAGCTATATTATTCTAAAGAATAAAACTTTTTTTATTTTTTATTCTAAAGACGAATTTAACGATAGAGTAAATCTGATTTAAAATATTATTTTTTGTTAAAATACATTTTCTATGGCTACTTTTGCTATCGATTGTCACGTAAACGTAATTTTAAGTCAAATAAAAAGATAAATATTTGAAAACCTTTGATTTATATACGTTTTTTTTACTATGTCCCGCTTCTGACGGAAGAATCCCGCTATTTTCACTCAAAAAGTACCAAAGTCCCGACTTGGCGAAAAAAAAAACTGGCAACGCTGGTTACCAGTGATGACCTATGGTTCGGAAACGTGGCCAATTACTGTAGGCCTTATACAGAAGCTCAAGTTGCACAGCGTGCCATGGAGAGGGCTATTTCTCGGTGTTTCTTTACGAGACCGAATCAGAAATGAGGAGATCCGTAAATGAACTAAAGTCGCTGACATAGCCCGACGGATTAGCAAGCTGAACTGGCAATGATCAGGTCATATAGTACGCAGAACTGACGTCCGATGGGGCGGCAGCAAAGTTCTGGAGTGGAGGCTGCGTACCGGAAAACGCAGCGTGAGACGTCCACCCACAAGGTGGACCGACGACATCATAAAGGTAGCAGGAAGGCGCTGGACGCAGGCCGCTACCAGACAACATGGAAGCGTTGGGGAAGGCCTATGTTCAGCAGTGGATGTCCTATGGCTGAGATGATGATGATGATGATGATGAGTAATATCAGTCTTTCTTGAGTAGGTACGGCCTGGTTTCCACTAAGGCAAGTAGCAAAAGCAGAGAAGTTGGTTGACTTGACCAGGTTGTACATTAGAATTAAATCATAGTTTAGCACAATGTTCGTTTGGTTTCAGTCCGAGTGGGGTTGGTTCCACTGTATTCCAGGTGACTGGGCACCACTGGGTTTGGATAGTGGTGCGACTTACTTTCGATCTTTGGAAGGGTACGGCTGGCGCTACGATGGCCTTATTGGAATGAACGCAGTGTCCATGAGACTCCGCTCCATTCCAATAGTCCACTATTTTACTGTACTGAACACCCATGAAGTACTAGATTTCCTGTACGGAGCATTCACCGGTCATTTGCCGTATGAATGGTTAGATCAACGCTATGAAAATACGAAAGAGCGGTCTCCAATAACCAAAAAAGTGCAGGTCCCCAGACAGTATGATCCAGCCCACCCATACTATTACGGTAAGGAAATACCCAATTATAAGTGAAGTAAAGGGGTCCCCATTAAAACATAAATGTGAAATGAGAGCCAATTTCAATATTATGTATGTCATCGTTGTTGACTTTAATGGCAAAACAAGTGAGATCTAAATGGGTGCCAAGTTCAATGGTCAGTCCTGAAATTTATTTATAATAACATGAAATATAATTTCTTCTTATAACTTATAGTAGGGAATTTAGTGCAATGNGCGGCAATATTTAGATTAAGATAAAATGTATTTGCGCTTTTCGTAGCGCCACCCCCGCGCGGAACTAAGTTCCGATTTTCGTTAATAGATGGCGTTGACCGTAATTGACTCGCGCTAACATTTGATTTTTTTCGGACTTTATAGGGTGTTTTGCATAACTGGTTTAATAAAGTTTTATCAGCCTACGGAAGTTGTGTTATTTAATCGTGTGATGTGAAGTGTGTGAACAATTCATCTTTTTGGTTCAATATCAGTAACCCGTGTCTTGACATTGACCTAAGAACCGAGGAGCTACATAAACTGAAGTAAAAATTAAATAAGTAAAAACTAAATCAACAACATAAAGTAACTTGAAAAACATCAATTGGTTTGGCTAGGTGATTTTTTGAGAGCCTAAATAAATGATGGATGGATGAATCCTAATAATGATAATGAGTTTTAGATTATTGTGTAATTTTAAATACGGAAGGACGAGTGTGTGCTGTAGTTAATTAATTATAAATAAATCGTTACGATAACATTGTTTAAATTATAAGTAGTTAGGTAACCTTATCGTAGAGCGAGTGGACGCTACGCTACACAGTTTGTTTATGAGGTCATAATTGGTTGTTGACCATAAAAAAACCCTTTTAACCATTGAAGTAATATTTTAACATGCATGACAGTTTGAGTCACTCAAGTGCCTGTTTTTTTAATGAATCTATACTTATAATAAACATGTAGAGAGGTCAATTCTGTACATGAAATATATTTTCAAAATAACTATCAGGGGGTGATTAGTGATCGATACTGATGCCAAAAATGCAGTCAGTAAAATTTTTGTCTGTCTGTCTGTATGTTCCTTATAGAAACAAAAACTACTTGACGGATTTTAACGAAACTTGGTACAATTATTCTTCATACTCCTGGGCATGTTATAGTATACTTAGGAATTCCCACGGGAACGGGAATTAGCGAAAAAAACATTTGTATGAAAAAATCTAAACCGCGTAAGATGAATGAAGGGGGTAAAACGGGATCCACGCGTACGAAGTCGCGGGCGGCCGCTAGTTACTTATATAATTATTACCTACATATTTGTTGCCGCTTGCGAGTTCGTACGCGTGGACCCTAAATTTTACTCCCTTAGGGGTGGAGTTTCGTAAAATCCGTTCTTAGTAGATGTCTACACCACCTTATAAGAAACCTACCTGGCAAATTTCAAGCTAGTAGGTGTCATTGTTTCTGAGATTTCGTGATTGATTAACCAGTGAGTGGTATTTCGCTTTTGTTGCTTGTTAAATTTGCTCTTGTACAGATCGCGTAATGTCATGTAATTATACTCGTATTATAGCAAAACAAAGGATTAGATTTGTAAAAATAAAATAAGGCGTAATAAATGCATTTACAGACATCATAGAATGCGATTAATTATACGAATAGACTTAGATACACGCTCTACATTTACTAATATGAGAATAATACCAGCATCGGTAGGATACTTGCAAGTCACGGCAAGAAACTTGTGATATTTTATATTTTACCTTTTATGTTATTAATTATGAGCACTGCATGTTATAATTAAGGGGCGTTCGCCTTATACGCGTCTGATTTTATGCCTCATGCATCGTTGTTGGCATGTAGGCTGATGTAGGCAAGGTGCGCGTGGTGTGCACGTGTGGAATGCCTGATGACTGACATTTACTACACTACCACTACCTAACGCAGTAGCACGTAGTCAAGTGCATTATTCAAAGAAAATCTAATTGCTTACGATTTTCTGATAAAAAGTCATCTGATTTATTGAGGACTATTCTAAAAAGTCCTATAGTTACTTTATTTATTTAATCAAATGTAATAATAGCATATTATCCAACATATAAACTTTTTGCACCGCCTTACTCTCTCTGCATGACCCGTGGTGGGCCGTGGTTGACTCGCAGAGAATGCCATCCGGCATTAAGTCCGCCACAGTGCATTGTATGTATGTGCAGAAGCTTAAATTAATAGTAACAATAGCACAGTATTTATATGAGATTTATCTACTGTGGCAATACTCGTAGCTTCCGAAAAATCTGTTCCTATTTTTAGAACGCTCATAAAAAAGAAAGACGTAAGCTTCATAAAAAAAAATGATACACATCCGTTCAGGTTCGGTAATATAGCAGTACATTTAATCAGATTTAATCCAAATATATTATATAAAAAACCCAAAAACTGACTTGATTTTCGCTGTCCGCTTTGCGTGAAATGCCCCACCCGTGTCTTTCTATTTTAGTCAATTTTTTTTTCACTTCAATAGACGCACCTTGTTTGGTTTAGCATTCTGGTTACGTTCGATTGACTCTCTTTCATACAAAAATTTGCTTTTTAGCGGTTTTTAGGTAGGTAGACAGGGGTTGACTTCTCATAGGGTTGAATTGACGGGGTCGACTTCTCCGAGTCGAGTTGTCCCGAGGTTGAGTTGTCGTACTTGTCGTAGTATCCATCAGACTATAATTAACATTTTTGTTGCAATATGGCACCCATTAATTACTTTTGATGCTAGTGACAGTAATGATTATAATACATATAATCGGTTTCGCGGGTGGCTTATTGTTATATGCGGTCGGCTTGCTGGCCGGGGTGGCTGGTGTGACCGAGCGATTATGTCGCACGACTGCACCGCGCCGCAGTCTCTTAGTTATAACTCTGTACGGTACGAGGCATACAGATAGGTAATAGTCATAACAGATCAGATAGACTTACAGCAGTAATTACCTACCTACCTCCTTTTATAAAACAAAAAACTGCTTTTTAGGTCATTGCACTACGCTCTGTTTACTAGCTTTCCGCCGTCTGTCACAGAAAAACTGTTTCAAAAACCGGAATAAAACTATTGTGCTTTCCCGGGACTTAAACTATCTCTGTGCCAAATTTCATAAAAATCGGTTCAGTGGTTTAGGCGTGAAAGCAAGACAGACAGACAGACAGAGTTACTTTCGCATTTATAATATTAAGTAGTATACCTAGTTAGCTTCTGCCCGCGACTTCGTCCGCGTTAAGCTTACCACCAGGTGATCTTGTCCCATAAAAAATACGTTTTTTTTTGTTACAAAGTGGTATCAAAATAGACGCATTGTATGTATTATCAAGTTGTGTCATCATTATAATTTTATAATGCTCAGTTCTCTTTCCTCACCAATGTTTAGCTCATATTGATACTGTAATGCTCGACTCGACACGTTACATTACAGAGAAAAATGCTCCAGGTGAGGGTCGAGAACTCGTGAGGGGGAGCACCTTTACATAAAAAAATATTCATATTGTGTTTATTTATTTATTTCCTCACATTTACACTATCTTTACAGGTACTTAAGTCGCATAATGTGTTATTTTTTTATTTTCTTTCTGTCATCTTGCGTGGCGTCACACACAACATAACAATTAAGTAGGTATGTAGTGCATTCACTATACATAATAATGTATAAGTAGCTCTTTATTTTCCCAGTTGTGATATAATGAAAATGAAACTCAAGGCTCTCATTTTAAGGCCACAGTTGGTTTCATGTCGACAGTTATTGATTTAGCGTGTTGTTGTGGAATAAGCATTTGCATAAGCTGGGCCTTCGAGGATATGGCGCAATGTGACAACAATTGGTATGACAGTGACACTATACCAACAACTAATCTTTAAGTAATATACATATAGTACTATAAGTTTAGCACAAAATAGCCTTAGATCATTAAATGTATTATGTTATATGTATAACTATTAACTATGTTGTAGGTAGGTACTACCATTATTATTCTGTGGTAACTATGCACTAGATTTCGCGATTCAACTGAGCTGTACCTACTGCAATCCGTACAAGCGCGACTCTAGCTAGCGCTGCAGCGCTGCATGTTTGGACGACCAACAGAATGTTTAACGCTGCATCGAACTTTAGTATACCTATTAATTCTTCGAAAATGGAGCAAGAATTTTGCTTACGATAGCTTCTCTATTCTTCATAACTTAGCCTTAATGATAATTTTGGATCCCGATAGTGTGTATTATAAATATTTCATTATATTGAAATTTTGTTGCCAACCAGAAGCGAGAAGGACAGTATCCGTACAGAGTGTGCAGACTCAACTGAGATTGCTGTTTGGTTAAAAGACTACATAATATTACAAAATGTTTCTTCTTCCATTAGACCTTAGACCTCAAAATGTTTTTTAAAGTAGACGAGTGTTAACCTTCATGCTGCATTGTCAATTTAATTATAATATGAATGTGTATTTATGAAGACCACACTATATTTATGAACTTTTCATTTTAGGAATTTCATGGTCATTTGTTGCATACTCTACAGTTACACTGAATTCGTTACAATGCTGAAACAAAAGCTAACTAAAAAATAAATAATAATAATATCAACAAAATGTATTCCCACAATCCCACCCAATCCCAATATCTATAGATTGTTTTTTTATTGGGACCGTCGACCGCAACGTCCGCAACAAAGAGACAAACACCAAAACACTATTTGGCTGAGTTGCACCACAGGTTGCACTAGGTACGTTACTTTCAGTAACTATAAACATAACCGGTGTATGGAGTTTGTCAGACTTTTGACGTAGTTTTACTATATGGGCAACAAATAGTTTCAACATTCTTGATTTGATTTGAGCCGGCCGATAACTTGGGTATTGGGTATTATATTTCTGATACTATTCCCACATCACTCCCGATCATTGTTGGCAGTTTGTCGGGAGTGTTGGCGCACAAGTAAAGTTTCTTTGGATGGTAGGCATCGGCACGTGCGTCAGCGCACTTCTACAACAATAACAATGACTGTTATGTTTTTCACTCCAATAATGATTCATAATTACGTGGTATTACTTGATCATGTTATTCTTATAAATAGCGTTAGAAGAACATAAGTAAGTACCTACGTATGTAGGTATGTATTATTTA